GACTTCCGGTTTTGACCTGGGGCTTGTATGCAGCTATTTTGGATTCTGGGAGAGAGGCCACACTTTGGGGCAGTAAAGCCGGGGTCCGCGGCAGGCCCCTTTCTGTGAGAGCAGGAATTCTTGCAGGCCCAGCAGGCTGTGCTCAGCCGTTTGGACTTTGGTTTGGACTTTGGTTTCTTTCTCCTGTAGGGACCCTGGGCCTCAGGGGTCCTTAAGGGCTCTTTAGCCTCTGTGAGACAAAAAAACCAAAACAACAACAAAAAAAAACCTTTCCTAGTCTTAAGGGACACGTTGGCCAGTAGCAGTATTTTCTTCTTCTTTTTTTAATGTGCCCATGGACAGAAATGCAATTATTCCATTTTTATCTTGTCCAGCAATAATCATATGGTTTCAATACTATCTTTATTTTTTATTTTGTTCAATAGTATATTTTGATGGTATACTCTTTAGTTTTTTTCATTTATTTATTTTTATTTTTATTTTTGAGGCTGGGACTTGCTATGTAGTTCCGGCTGGTCTTGAATTCTTGGGCACCCTCCTGCTTTATTCTCCTAAATGCAGGGATTGCAGGTTCCACCATAGCCAACTAGTAATTTCAAATAGTACAAAAAATACATACTGAAAAGGAAGTTATCCTCTCATTCTTGATCATTAGTGTCCTTCTCTAGAAGAAGCATCTGCTGCACTATTTTTTGTGAGCTTCTCTTAGTTTTTATTAAAAATACCTTTTTTTTTTTTTTTGGTCTTTTTCCTTTTTATCGGTACCAGGGATCGAACTCACGACTGCCTGCTTGCAAGGCAGGCGCTTATGCCTGCGCTTATGCCGCTGAGCTAAATCCCCAGCCCCAATTAAAAATATCTTTAAAAATCAAATAAAAGGAACATTTACAAAAGGATATAAAATGTGAAATGAAACTTAATAAGGAAGGGAGTGTAACCAGCTTCCTCTGGCTTTCTGATTCTTGTTTGGAGGCAAGATTGAAGATGACAAAACAGCAAGCAGCAAGCCACAGGGAGTGGCCAAATGTGTGTTCTTTAGAAACAATAAAGGAAAAGAGTGCCCTGCTCGTCAGGAGTGGTAAAAAAATGTGTGTGTGTGTGTGTGTGTGTGTGTGTGTGTAAGATGACAGCTTTTTATACAGTTACTGGGATCCATAGATACTTGACCACAGGCAGGGATGGATGCTCCTCCTTACAAGTGGGCCTTTGAGGTCCAGTGAGCAGGCTGCTTCATTTGCATATCATTTCTCCCAGGGTTTCTGCTGTTTGCTTAAGGGCCTGTTTTTAATCCCTTGTATCCCATTAGGTCCTGATGGTCTGTTTGGGCCCTCTGGTATGTTAACTCATGTAGGCCTCCATTTTTAGATTATTTTAAGTTAATTAGTCGGGACCTGTGCCATGTTTGCCTAAGCTCTCTCTCTCTTCTGGCTTTAACATGGACTAAATTTTGCTCTGTGTGTGTGTGTGTGCATGGTGTGCACACACGTGCATACGTATGTGTGTGTGTGCATTGCTGAGTATTAAACCTAGAACCTCCCAAATGCTACGTCAGCCTTCTGTGGTACCACTGAGCTACACTCCAGCCTGAGAATTTCTTTGAATGGAGACTGGCTTTGAATGGACTAAGCTTCTTGAAATGTGAACCAATACAAATGAAAGAGGGAAGCTTTGTTTTCCACTTGATTATTTTCCTGCCTAAAACACAGGCATTTAGCAGGGTGTGGTGGCAAATGCTTGTAATTCCCAGCACTCTGAGAAGCTGCGGCAGGAAGGTTGCAAATTTGACCCAGCCTGGCAATTAATGACCTTTGGAGACCACGACTCAAAGTAAAATATAAAACAGAGGTTTGGGGGGGGGGGGGCTGAGGATTTAGCTCAGTGGCATAAGCGCCTGCATTGCAAGCAGGCAGTCGTGAGTTCAATCCCCGGTACCGATAAAAAGGAAAAAGACCAAAAAAAAAAAAAAAAAAAAAAAAAAACCCCAAAGGTTTAGGGGTGTAGCACAGTGTGATGGCCCTAGATCAAAGCGGCATTATAAAATGAAACAAAACAAACCTCGAAAGACAGGCATTTTTCCCTTGCAGTACCGGTTATTGAACTCTGGGGAGTGATTTGCTACATCCCCAGCCCTCGTGTTTGTATTTGCTTTTTTTCAGTACTGGGTTCTGAATCCAAGGCCTGTGCCCTAAACTTCACCCCCAGCCCTTTTTTACTTTTTGTTTGTTGGTTGGTGCTGGCGATAGAATTTACAGCCTCACAGATTAGGCAAGTGTTCTGATTCTGTTAAACCTTCAAGACTCCAGCCTTTGGGAGACAAGATCTCATTATTATAGACAGCTAAACTGGATAGAAATTAATAATGATACTGATAGAACTGTGGAGGGGAGGGAGAGGGGACCGGCGGTGGCTGAAAAGATAAGAAGTATAAAATATAAGTAACCTTTATTTTGGGAATGCAGGGAGAGACACCCCCGACCCCCTGGGGCGTGGCATCTCCACCCAGGGGCCAGCGATCTCTCGCGGAGTGAGGCACATAAGTAGACACGGCCTGGGGTGGAACCTAAGGGGCATTAGGGATGCACAGGTAGCCCATTGGTCTTAGTTTGGCGCCAGAGGTAATTTCTAAGGGTGGGGGGAGATAGGAGCTCCTTGGCTTTGCCGGCTACAGTATCCGGCTTGGGCCAGCAACCCTTTCAGATATAACAGAAATAAATATAACTCCCAACCTGCTGGATGTCAGATATGCCAAGTTTGTGCCCCTCAAAATCAAAGCATGAATTCCAAGGGAAATTTTTATCAAGAGAGCTGCTGAGAGTATCTGAAAGAGGGTTGCCAATGAGCCCTCTCCTCAAAGTAAATTTTATAGAGCAAAATCACCAGATGAGAACAATACAAGTCAAAACTGTGATCAACCGGTCTAGGGATTTAGCTCAGCGGCATAAGCGCCTGTCTTGCAAGCAGACGGTCGTGAGTTCGATCCCCGCTACCGATAAAAAGGAAAAAGACAAACAAAACAAAACAACTGTGATCAACCAATAAGATTACCAATATTGTCTCATAGGTAATATTGATCCAGTGGGAAAGTAGGTCACATAACAAGCATACATGGAAAGAACAAAGCTCTTTTTTAGGAAAAAAATCAGTCAGGAGGTCCTGGTCACCCACCTGAGTGACTCATGTCTAGCTAGACTTTATTGGACCAGGTGATACCAATTATATTATATTGTTTATCCCTTGGGGAGGTGTGTAAGCCTGGTCATTCCATCTTTATCTAGAGCCTGGCCTTTGACAGATGTGCCTCCAGCCAGTTATAATGTAATGTGTAATCTTCTGTAGACTCCCTGCAGGGTCTACCCCTGTCTGACTATAATATTTCTACATTAAGGGGTCCCAAGAGGGATCAGGCCCTTAAAGGAGTCAGTATGGAAGATGGAATACATACAGACTGTGGCAGGAGGTGAATGTGACGAGCCACAACCTCAAGATCCGAAGACACAATGGGCAGGATAGCAAACCTTGCTAAGGAGAAACCACAGCTTGTGCTCCTACTGTGAAGAGCGCCACCTAGTGCAGTAAATCCAGACAGGAAACAGATGCACAGTGGGTGATGAGAACATCTGAATCCCAAATCCCATCCCTTTCCAGGGAGGCTTTTGTTCTTTCTGTTAAAAATTATAGATAAGGGGGCTGGGGATTTAGTTCAGTGGCATAAACACCTGCCTTGCAAGCAGGCAGTTGTGAGTTCAATCCCCGGTACTGATAAAAAGGAAAAAGATAAAAAAAAAAAAATTATAGATAATGTGGGAGCAGGGGGAAGAATTACAGATGAGCAGAAGTTAATGATGTGCTCCATATAATCCTTGCTATGTGACTTATTTCCTTCTTGGATTCATATTAGCTAAGTGACTATCCTTGTAATCCTACAGTTAGACTGTAATTTGACTCACATTGTACCCACATGTGATTTTGCTGTACAAATTTTTTTTTTTTTTTGGTCTTTTTCCTTTTTATCAGTACCGAGGATAGAACTCAGGACTGCCTGCTTGCAATGCAGGCGCTTATGCCACTGAGCTAAATCTCCAGCCCCTACCAAATATTCTTGACAAAGAATCTCAGTCACCACCCATTCGGGACCCCTCCTGCAAATCCAGAACCTATTCTTCTTCTCCTTATATCCAATAAAACTCTAACTTCCTCCTTTGGTCTGAGACTTCATCTCTCAAGGTTGTGAGACCACAAACTTGGCACATCAGACATCTAACAGGCTGGGGATTATTTCCCCCATAACATTAAAACAAAACAGGAAGAGTTAGACAGGCCCAGGTCCTGAATAGTTAACCTAAAATAAAGTAACAGTCAGGGCTTAAGGGAGTTAACATACCAGAGGCCCAATTAATTAAACAAACCGTTGGAGTGTAATGAAATACAAGAGACAAAAAACAGGTCTCTAATCAAGTGGGAGAGACCTTGAAAAAAATAAAATACAAACTAAGCAGTTTGTTTTCTGGACAGCAAAGGCCTACCTGCCACCAAGAGCATCGCTGCTTTCTGTCATATACACCAAAAACTACCAAAAGCCAGTGAATGTAAATGTCTACGGTATTTGCTTTAGTGAATCCCTTTCTTTTCTTGTTTCTCATAAACCTGCCTTTGGCCATTCCCCACCACATGCTCCTGGCTGTTTTGTCCTCTTCAATTGTTACCCCCAAACAAAGACCCCAAGGGCGAGGTATGGCCAGTGGTCCAGACGGTCAGTCTCTGGTGGCCATGCTGTCCTTGGAGGAGGGAGTTAAAGCCACAGGCTGAGGGTGGAGAACCGTGAGAAAACAAAACCCACCAGCCAAGCTCACAGCTGGGAGAGAAAGTTCTGGTGATTCCTGGGCTGTCAGAGCTGTGACCTTTTCGGCTTCACCTCTTCCTGCAGCCCCTCACCACCAGAGCCTGGGGAGCCCAGCAGCTGGCCTGCCACCGCCACGCCCTGGACTCCACCTGCAGGGTAAGTCCATGGGCAACTCCAAGAGAGGAAAGTCAGATGCCCAAGGTCCAGGCTGCCCTCTTGGACCACAGGCGAGCTGCCCCTCTCTCTGGCTGCGTGCACCAAACAGTGGGATGTGGTGAGCTACCTCCTGGAGAACCCGTACCAGCCCGCCAACCTGCAGACTGCCGACTCCCTGGGCAACACTGTCCTGCATGCCCTGGTGATGATTGCAGACAACTCTGAAGACAACAGCGAACTGGTGATCCGCATGTACGACGCACTGCTCAGGGCAGGGGCCCGCCTCTGCCCCAGCGTGCAGCTGGAGGACATCCAAAACCTGCAGGGCCTCACGCCCTTGAAGCTGGCTGCCAAGGAGGGCAAAATTGAGGTGAGCTCTAGCCCCCCTCCAGGTTCCTCAGGCAGCAGCAAGGCTCACCTCAAAACTTCTGCAGAAGCCGGTGATTTAGCCCTGTGGCTCAAGCGCTTGCCTGTAAGTGCAAGGTTGTCAGTTCCATCCTTGGTACCAACAAAACAAAACAAAACCAAAAAAAAACCCAAACTTCTGTGGAGTCTGGGAGGAGGGCAGACGTCTCTACTTTTCAAGATAACACCCCTACTAGCAAGAGCATTTTCATTTTTTATCTATGTTAGCTTTGTGTTGATGGGACAAAATACCTGGCATCCTTCTGTTGTCCTAGGCACTTGGAACAAAAATCAACTTAGAAAGAAAGGAGGAGAAAAGTTTTATTTAGGTGCATGGTTTCATAGGTCATAGTCCACAGTCACTCCATGCTGTTGGTTTGAGCTTCACTGAGGCAGAGTATCATGGCAGAAAGTTCATGTGGATTGGTCCATATATATAATCTTTGTACTTGTAGGCTGACGCAGGAGGATCAATGGAAATTGAAGGCCTGTCTTTCCTACCTAATGTGTTCAACGCCAGCTTGATTAAAATAGTGAGACTCTGTCTCAAAAAAAAAAAAAAAAAAAAAAAAAAGAAAAGAAAAGAAAAGAAAAAGAAAGAAAGAAAAAGAATAGAAGGAATGAACAGTTCATGGTGAGGGAATTTCCAAAGGGAGTGTCAGGAGCTGTGGGGTTCCAGCATCTTCTCAAGCACGTGCCCAGGTACCTAAGTAACTTCTGCTAGGCTCCACCTCTGGGAGTTTGTACCAGCTCTGTGCAGCATGACAGCTCATGAGCACCCCTTAAAGAATGACACTTTAGGGCAAGAACTTTATTTATTTATTTATTTTTTAACTTTTTATCAGTCCCGGGGATCGAACTCACAACCGCCTGCTTACAAGGCAGGTGCTTGTGCTGCTGAGCTAAATCCCCAGCCTCTGGGGCAAGGAATTTAGTTCAGTAGTGCAGTGCCTGCTGGGTAAGCATGAGGTCCCCACCCCCCAAAAAGAAGGAAATTTTAGGGAACATTTAAGACCCAAAACTATAACAGCCTATGTCATATGGGTTTTTATTTATAAGGTCTATGTGGGCTACTGAGTATTATATTGTATTAGAAAACACTGAGACTGCTTTTAGAGTCATTTGGGCTTTTTCATTAGGAGACGGCATTTCCTTTTTTCTCTTTAGACAGGATTTCACTATGTATTTTAAAGTGGATTGAATTCACTGTATAATCTGGGCTGGCTCAAACTCATGGTGACTTACTGTTTTAGTCTCCCAGCCGCTGGAAATACAGGTGTATGCTGCCACACCCAGCGACAGTGGTTTCATAGCCACAAGACTGGCATATTTTGCTATTAGATTTGCTATTAGGTTTTCTTCATGGTGATTGGTAACTGTTCTTTACAGTGGCCTCAGAGCTCTAGTGGGGCAATGGGTTACTGTGCAGTACTTATACAGTAGCCTTAAGTTTTGCTGGTTTGCAAAATTTTCTCTGAGTTGACCATTTGGTTTTTTTTTTTTTTTAATTGGTACCGGGTATCGAACTCACGACCGCCTGCTTGCAAGGCAGGTGCTTATGCCGCTGAGCTAAATCCCCAGCCCCTTGGTTTTTTTTTTTTTTTAATTTTATTTTATTATTATTATTATTATTTGTCTTTTTCCTTTTTATGGGTAGTGGGGATCGAACTCACGACTGCCCACTTGCAAGGCAGGCACTTATGCCACTGAGCTAAATCCCCAGCTCTCAACCATTTGGTTTCGAAGGTATTATTTTGCCATAAAAATTAAAATCTGTTGCATGTGCATGTGCTTGCAGTCCCACGTGCCTGAGAACTTGAATGGAGTGGTCACTGGAGCCCATGAGTGTGACACCAGCCTGAGGAACATAGCAGGACCCCATCTCAAAACACGACAAACAAGAAGTTCTTATGTGCAGTATAATTATGATAAAAGCATTGTTTTTAAGGTTCTTGAGTTTTGCTATGGCTTAATTTCTTCTATAAGATTAACAAAAAGTATAGCCGGGTATGGTGGCTTACGCCTGTAAACCCAGTACTCAGGAGGCTGAGGTGGGAGGATCCTTAGGAGTTTGAGACCAGCCTGGGCTACACAGTGAGGTCAAGGCCAGCCTGAACTGCATAGTGAGACCCCATCTCAAAAAAGACAAAAAAAAAAAGATTAACAAAAGTGAGGTAGAAGGATCACCGGGAATTCAAAGCCAGTCTGCAGTACAAAGAGATTCTGTCTCAAAAGAAAAATAATATAGAAAAAAAGTTATAGAAGAGAAAAGAGATTTATATATGAGAACAGGTGTACCTGTGTGGTTAAGAGAGGTAATAAGAGGTAATAAGGTTGTAATAACCTTACCTCTGTCTAAATGCTGCAGCTGTGCAGACTGCTGAGGCTGCTGGCCATTCCCCAGCCTTGGCCATGTATCAGGGCTCAGAGAGAGCCCGGCCAGCAAACTCCTGTGATCACTCTGCAGATTTTCAAGCACATCCTGCAACGGGAGTTCTCGGGGCCATGCCAGTCCCTTTCCCGAAAATTTACCGAGTGGTATTATGGGCCTGTCCGGGTATCACTGTATGACCTGGCCTCTGTGGACAGCTGTGAGGAGAACTCAGTGCTGGAGATCATCACCTTTCACTGCAGGAGCCCAGTGAGTTCAAGAGGGTTAGGGTTCCGAGAGGGCCCAGCAGAGGTCCTGGCAAGTTCCACAAGTCAAGGCTCCTCCCAGGAACAAACCTACTCTGTCCCAGTAGGGGTGTGGCTGCATGTCCCTGGTTCTGGCTGTCAGACACAGACTTATCCTACACTCTAGACCTTTGCAACACAGGCACCACTGGGCTTGGTGCTGAGCACCACTGCGCAGGAATGGAGGGGAAGCCCTGGTGACTGTATAGCTGGAGTATGCTAAGCTGGGGTGGAGGCAGGCGGCCAGGGGCCATTGGAGGTTCCTTCTGCTCTATTTCCCTTGCACCTTGCAGGGAGCCCAGCATGAACTGGGTGCTCTATGCATACCTGCTGCCTTTATCCTGTCAATGTCTATATCCAGGGCTCTTCCTGTTCCCCAGCACCGATATAGAATGGTGGTTCTGGAGCCACTGAACAAACTCCTGCAAGCCAAATGGGGTCAGTTCATCCCCAGGTTCTGCTTCAACTTCCTGTGTTATCTGATCTACGTGCTCATCTTCACCACTGTTGCCTACCACCAGCCAGCCCCGGACCAGGCAAGGGCAGGGAGAGAAGTCCCCAGGGGCCTCCTGGAATAGGCCTGGAGGGAAATGGGCCAGGGACCACCGCCACGATCCATGATTGATGTGTCTCAGTTCATGATCACTGACAACCACTGTCTGGGATAACCAAGTATTATCACCCTGAGCTCACATTTGAGAGAAGGGAGGCACAGAGATGTTATAATAACATTACCAAAGCCACATACAACCTGTGAGTGGTGGAGGCAGGATCTGAGCCAGGCAGCCTGGCTCCAATCCCCATGTTCATAATTTCTACATGATGTGCCTCTGAAGGCACTAGAGTCCAGCGGTCATCCCCGGAGTCCGTGCTCCTCCCCTGCTCCATACTGTGAGCTCAGACGGGCTCCTAAGGGCTTTGGTCCTAAGTGCCGGGGAGGAGACCTGAGGGCCTAAGTCTCACCTGAGTGTTTATGTGTCTTCAGCAGGGTTTCCAGTTGGATCCCTTGTCTGGAAACCCCGTGCTCCTGCTGGGCCACATCTTCATCCTGCTTGGGGGGATCTACCTCCTCATTGGCCAGGTGAGGGCTTCTCTCCCTTCCCCTACCTTATGTGGCCCCAATTAAACAAGGTGGGAATCTAGAATTCTGCTGAAGGGCAGGGAGTTAGAAACATCCCTTCAGAGATGAGGAAACCACTCCCATACTCAGGTCCATCTAGAGCAGGCTCCAGGAAATGGGGGCCACAGCTTATGCCCTTGGTTCTGGGGCTCTGGTACCCTCCCTCTGTGCCATTTGGGACACCCATGGGGTAGTGGACAGGTTGCCTGACTCCTTGGCATGTTAGGCTCTGCTTCCCTGAAAGTGGATCTGGAAGCCCCACCGGAGCCCTCAGCTGGCATTCCTCAGTTGGGGAGCACAGAGGGTCACTCCAGATGGGACTGAGCCCAACTACAGCAGCACAGCAGTCCCAGTTGGACGTGTTGCAAGCTTGCAAGGTCAGTCAGGCTGGACACTAAAACGCTAGGAAATCGTTAGCATAGACAGACTTTGGGTGCCACTCTCAGGCTGGCTGGAGTACAGGGTGCTCCCCAGGAGGCAGAGGAGGGTAGGAAAGGAACTCTCCTCTTTCCACATGCAGTCTGTGACAGGCTGTTGTTCTGATTCCATGGGGGCCAGGAGGCCCCTGGCATTGTTTGGGTGACAGTGGAAATCTACTTCTGGGCCCTTTATATTGGGGTGTAGTTCAGGGCCTCACACACGCTCAGCTTGGCCACTGTTTTGGAAAGTTCCAAGGCCATCGCTGCTATTGGAAGGATTCATGAGACTCCCACAGTGAAAGCTGCTGTCTTACCTCCAACATGGTGCTGGCCAGATCTCATGTAGGCCGGCCCGCAGGTAGGGAGCATGTGGGTGAGCAGGGGACCTGGTGGTCCTGTGGGACAGCTGGCCAGCCCTTGTGCCTGGAGAACAAGTTTCACAGCCCCTGTCCTCCTGCTCCGCAGCTGTGGTACTTCTGGCAGCGCCGCCTGTTCATCTGGATCTCCTTCGTGGACAGCTACTTTGAAATCCTCTTGTATGTGGGCTCTCATTTCTCCTCTCACTTTGTGAGGCCTACGGGAGGTGGGTATGGAACAGAGCTCCAGGATGGCTTGAGAGGGACTAACACAGGGCTCCAGGGAGTTAGACTTGGAGTCCTGGCCACTATCCAGCTGGGCACCCTTTCCACTCCTGTACTTGTGGTCATGATTTGTTGTTACCTTTTCCAAGCCCTCACTGCACACCTGTTGGGCCTTGACCCTTTTGCATATAGTGCCTCACTTAGTCTTTTAAAGCTTCTGAGGAAGGTGTCATTATTTTTATGAGTATTTTATGGGAGAGGGAACAGAGACCCACAAAGGCTGAATAGCTTGTACAGCCCAGGATTGGTTCAGTCCCAAAGGGAGGACATTTGAAGGCATCATGGCTCCTGCAGTGGTGGTCTGTACTGGCCGGGAGGAGTTGGGGGATGTTGCCTAGTGTGGCCTCAACGATGACTGGAACCCTCCCCGTGCAGCCTGGCTCAGGCCCTGCTCACCGTGCTGTCCCAGGCCTTGTGTTTCATGCCCATTGAGTGGTACCTGCCCCTGCTTGTGTCCTCGCTGGTGCTGGGCTGGCTGAACCTGCTGTACTACACACGTGGCTTCCAGTACACGGGCATCTACAGCGTCATGATCCAGAAGGTGAGAGATGGGGCCTGGCTGGACACCACAGTTCAGAAGGGCTCCCTGTGGCCTCAGGAGCAGGAGTCTTCTCCCACAGCTCACCTGAGCAGAGGAGGCATGAGCAGGCCTGCCTCCTCCACTTACCCAGCTGCTCACCAAATGCTGGTGTAAGAACTGTTGTGGGCGTGGACCCACAGATACATGTACACATGTTACATACACACCTCCAGAAACAGGGGATGACTGAGTGGAGGAGTAAAAGGAATGACGCACCCACAGTGTCACAGTCAGGGTCCTAGAGGAAGCATCCTCCATAGGGAACTATGGAGGTGAAGATGATGAGCCAGGTCAAACTGACAGGCAGGAGACAGAGCCAAGAGCCCAGGTAGCTGGGGAGAGGGAGGCAGAGTGGAGAGGGGAAGGTGGTGGGTAAGAAGGTGTCTGGGGCTTTGCCCATCGGGAGGGGTCAAGAGCCTAGCACTTGGCAGGTTGAGGCAGGAGGATCACTGTGAATTTGAGACCAGCCAGTGCTACATAGTGGGGTTGAGGTAGGCTTCAAATACATAGGGCGATCCTGTCTGGAAAAAAGTAGGCCTCATATAAAAATGTACCGACCTAAGTGTATGCTTAAGGGGTGTGACACACATTCCCCTTGTTATGCAGCCATGAGCACACCTATCTCCAGAGCTACTTCATCTTCATAAACAAACCTGATGCCCATTGAACAACGCCCCATTTTCCCCTTGTCTCAGCCTGGCAACTCCCATTTACTTTCCGTCCCCATGATTTACTGGTTCTAGAAACTTCATGTAGGGAATCAACTAGCATTTGTCCAGAGCCTGGCTTATTTCACTTACCACAGTGTCCTCAAGGATCATCTGTGTTGCAGCATGTGACACATTTACTTCCTTTTAAAGACTGAATAGGTGTTTTGTATGGGCACAGCACATTTCGTGTACCCTGCATCCATTACAGGGCTTACTGCTTCCATAACCTGGGAATTATGGATACTGTAGTGCTGCTATGAATACGATGCATGAATATCTGTTTCGGTCTTTTTTTCCCTTTTTGTTTCGGAAGTGGTTCGTGCTTGTAATTCAGGCTGGCCATGAGCTTACTATGCAGTTTAAGGTGGCCTTGAACCACCACCAGCCTCCTTCATCTCCATGAATGCTGAGATTATAGGTGTGGGCCAACGCCTGGTTTGAGTATCCATTTTCAATGCTCTGGATCAATTTAAAATATATGTCTTTCATGGTAATTTGGACTTTGTGTAAGAGCCAACAGTCACATAGTGCATAGTGCCACACTGGGTGAAAAAGATGGATGAGAACACACTAGTTTTTTTGTCTTTTTTCCTTTTTATCGGTACCGGGATTCAAACTCACGACTGCCTGCTTGCAAGGCAGGCACTTATGCCGCTGAGCTAAATCCCCAGCCCCCACAATATAGTTTTTATACATATGAATTTGTAGATGCACTTTTTTGTAGCATTCATTGTATTTTTTATGACATTTTATAAAGACGTGAAAAAGAGCTTCCAGAACTATTGCAGAAAGCAGCCAGACAGTGGGAGAAGCATATTCAAAACAATGGGGAAGATTTCAGTAGAGTTAATGGCAGTGACTTTTACCATAATAGTTTTTAAATTCTTTTAAACATTTACCATATATAACTCGTGTGTGTGTGTGTGTGTGTGTGTGTGTGTGTGTGTGTGTGTCTGTATAATGAGAACTGTGCTCAGCTCTGGGTCTGGGGGATTCTGCACACTGGCCCAGCCACCCAGCCCAGCTCACGTGCTTGTGTATTTCAGGTTATCCTGCGGGATCTGCTCCGCTTCCTGGTGGTCTATTTAGTCTTCCTTTTTGGCTTTGCTATAGGTAAAGGCCCACTCTGGTCCTGCTTATCCCCTCCCCACTATGTACACCTGCCTCAAGGCTGCCTGCCAGAGCCCCTGGCTGAGGAAGCCCTCCCTCCTTCCCACAGCCCTGGTGAGCCTGAGCAGGGAGGCCCGGGGACTCAGGGGCCCTGCAGGCCTCAATGGCACACAGGCCTCCCAGCCAGGGATGGAACAGAAGGAGGAGGAGGAGGCCCCGTATAACAGCATCCTGGATGCCTCGTTGGAGCTCTTCAAGTTCACCATCGGCATGGGTGAGCTGGCCTTTCAGGAGAAGCTGCGCTTCCGTGGGGTGGTGGTGCTGCTGCTGGCCTACGTGTCCCCCAGTCCTAGGACCATCCTCCTGGGGGCAGGCTGCTGGCTGAGGTGCTGTGGCTGCTCTCATGGTGGACTTGGAGGTAAACAGGCGAATCACAGCCGCTTGGCGACTCTCTTTTTGTGCCATCAGAAAGCTGCTAAATCTGTTTCTAAGCTGGGCAGCAAGCCAAGGCACAGAATGTACGTGTGAGTGAGACCAGCCTCGGCAATTTATCAAGACCTCAACTCAACAACAAACGCAACCATAGGATGAATATTATCATGATATATATCTAAAACATGCCAAGAAAATGAATTATTTAAAAAAAATAAAAAACAAAGTGTTGAGGAAAAAAAGAGAGGAGATGAGCTGAAAACTCACTGCAACATGTCTTGTAGTTTAGTTTGCTTTGAGCTCATTGGTTCAGCTGAGACTCTGGAATATTACACACCCCTCTCTGCACCCCAGGTTTATGCTATTTTCCATGCTATTTTCTGTAGGACAGCCAGAGGGGTCTTCCTAGGACACAAGGCAAACTTGTCACCCTTGTGCTCTGGAGGCCTGACAGGTTCCTCAGGGCCTAGACAATGTCCTTGCAGGTATCCCCAACCCTCCAGTCTTCCCCTGTGTCCCTGCTGCCTGTAGGGGAATCTGGTGAAAGGTCCTTAGAAGTTTGATCATCTCTTCCCTGCTAGTCCTCCCAGTGCTGGGAACTGAAGGCAGGCCCTGCAAATGTTAAGCAAGTGCTCTCTCACAGTCATTCTCCAGCTCTAACCAAATTCATCAGGCAAGCTGAGGGTCCTTGTGTTTGATCCTTTGACTTAGGTCATTCTAGAAGAAGCATTTAAACCCTGCTTCTTTCTGAAAGTAATCCTTTTATGTCAAGTGTTCCATTTTTGGAAGGACACCTAACTTTGGAAGTTTATGAAAAGTTTTCTCTTCAAATTCTTGTGCCTTGACATTTTCTAGGTAACAAAAACACTATCTTTCAGAGCAAGTGGGTTATCTCAAAATTTCCTCCTTCGAGTTTTCTGGAGTCAAAATGAATTGCTCTCTCTTGGTATAACGTTTGTGTACAAAAGGTGTGCACAGGCATGGGTTTTTTTTTCTTTCCTTTTGTGTGTGTGTGTTTTTATGTGTGATCGAGATGCAACCCCGGGTCTCAAACATACTAGGATCTCCCTTGATTGCTCAAGCTGGTCTCAAACTTGTTATCTTCTACCTCAGCCTCTCAGGATGCTGGGATTACAGACGTGAGCTACCAGGTCTGGCTAAGATTAAGTACTTTTAAAAATAATAGGAGAAACCTCACCATGTTCACAGACTGAAAGGAAACCATCAGCAGAGATCGAGTTTTGAATTATAAATAAGAAAGAGGGTGGACAGAAAGTCTGGAGAAGCAGGAGAGCAAAGGAAGATGTAGGTCCCCAAAACGGAGAGGAAGAGGGGCTTCAAGTGGACCCAGACTTCTGGTTGCTCCTTCAGGGTCATCCTTACAATGAAGGATGCCAGTGTGCAAGGGGTCTGAAGGTTCCGCGGAAATTCTGGGGCAGCTGTGGGGAGACAGTAGACTGCCCCGATTAGATTCAGGAGCAGAAACTATTTCTGAGAGCTTGCTCTGTGTCCAGGGTCTGCATTCCACACATGCGGTCTCATCTAATACTCACAGCTAACTTTTGGGGCCCTTGTGTCTCCATTTTTATCCTCAGCCATCCGAATTCACCAAGGTTAAAGCCGAACTCGACGCCAGATGACCAAGACACAGACAACTTCGCGCAAACCTTGGCGCAAGCACTCACTCACTTCATTACCCAGAATCCTCTTTGGCGTGGACGAGACCATTAGCTTAGTAGGATGGGGGGAGAATCCGGGGGAGATCCGGACCGGAAGTTCCCGTGAGTCTTTGCCAGACTCACCCTGTGTTACGTGAGCCGTGGGACGTTCTGGGTCTTTAAGTGCTGCGGGTTCTAGCAGAGCGGTCTTTTCGCTACAGTGACCGTGAGTGTTGTCTGTGTATGTGAGCGACGAGGGCCGATAAAGATCTAGATTTTTTTTTTTTTTTTTTTAACCACTTTACCCAGGTGTTTTTAGAGAAATTTAGCTAAATGGAGGAGTCCGGGCGAGAGTTGCGATTCAGTGTTCCATATTTTTCTAGGGCCGCGTTGTGTAGAATGCTGCGAGCTGCGACTCACATACCGCATGTTTCTCGGCGGAGCCACCGCCGCAGGAGTGTGAGGTTTGCGGAGAGCAGCTTTCTGTTTCTGCACCCTCCAGGAGGAGTGCACAGACCTGAAAAGCTGGGTAGGTTGGGGTCTGCCTGGCAGTACCTGGAAATAACTGAAGGGCGCTACTCCTAGAGGGATTTTAACGGGAACACGAAGAAGACGTGACTGTTGTGATGATAACGAGTAATAGGAAGTGCCGTCAGAAGCGATAACTGACGATATATATTCTTGATCTGATTACAGTCGCTAAAACCTCAGTACATTAAATTAGTTAAATGTGACTGCCAGACTCGACAAGTTCTTGTTCTTCCTTCTTTCAGATGTCGGACTCAGTGCAGAATATTGAAGATGGGAGCAGCATCTCATGAAGTCGGGTGCGTTTAATATTCGAGTTTGGGGGATGGAGATGCAACTCGATGTTGGAGGGTGGTCTGGCACAGTCGAGGTCTTGGGTTCGAGTTCCAGCATTGAAAAAAAGGGACTTAGTAGTAATTTAGCTACCAAACAAGAAGTGAAGTTTAGTTGTATCCTGAACATTATAACACGTGTTTTTCAGCGGTGTGGAGACTGGAATCCAAACATGTGTTTGTATACAGATACATTATAGGTATATGCACTAAGGCATTGGCAGACACAAGGTGTCAGGAGTGTTTTGGTACATGTGGTTGTGAGGATGTAGCCCCCAGGAACTTCGTGCTGTGCGCTACACCTTCTTCTAGTTTGGTTTCAGATGTCCATGTCTCCAGTTCGTTCTTGGGGATCCAACTCACGACTGCCTAGTTTTTTTTTTTTTTTTTTTGTCTTTTTCCTTTTTATCGGTACCAGGGATCGAACTCATGACTGCCTACTTGCAAGGCAGGTGCTTATGCCGCTGAGCTAATTCCCCAGCCCCTTTTTTTTTCTCCAGTTGGAAGAGTACTGTACAGTGATGAGTGTTTTGACTGCTCTGATGATACCACTTAATAGGAAGTGCCGTCAGAATCGATAACTGACGATAACTATTCCTGGCTGACCGCAGTCAACAAGTCTGCACCAGTTGCTGCTTTTGGCCAGGATTAAGTTGATCTGAACTGTGACAACCTTTCTACATTCATTCAGGTTGCAGACTGTCAGGATACCAACAGCGTTGTATCACTGGCCCCTTAAGTCACCTGGAGGGCTGCTGGACAAAGGCTGCAGTGGCAAATTTTTGCTCAAAACCTGTTAGAGAACTGGCTTTGGATCAGGTAAGCTTTGCTCTCTGGAAGGATTGGTTGGTGGCTGAGAAATTCTAGGTGTTTGGCCAGATATTGGCGGTTTCATCGTATTACCATAGTATGTGTCAATGCCTTGACTTCTATTGGAAGAATATCCTGCATGTCCTGGCTAGTTCATGGGGTAGTGGAACCCAGAAGAATGTTTATTCCAAATGGGAAAGTGGTTCCCATTTGACTTGGGTGTTTAATCTTGAGCAAATTATTTCTGCCCTGAGGTATAGCTTTCCTCATTTTTGATAAATAATAGATTTGTGGGGGCTGGGGATTTAGCTCAGCAGCATAAGCGCCTGCCTGGGAAGCATGTGGTTGTGAGTTCAATCCCCAGTATCGATTAAAAAAAAAAAAGAATACATCTGTGACTTTGAAGATGCCCTACTAAGTAGAGATTTAAGTCTCAGGAGGTTATTTCGGATTTGTAAGTTTAGTAATTGGCACAGTGTCCCATCTGCAGGTTCTGAGGGATGATGTTCATAGAGTGGTCTTACTAAGCTTGTAGACTAAGGCTGTGGAAGGCATTTCCCGTTCTGTAGCTTTCTCTTGTTTCCCCAGGTTTTGGGATCAGTGCTGGAGTGCAGTTTGAGAGCTGGCAGCAGCACAGCCCAGCAGGAGGTAAGCCTTGATCTGCACTGTGATTTGTCATGGATTGAATAAGCTGCTGGTTGTAAAATTGGTTTTTGTGGAAAAGGATATCAAATGATGAAATGACCAAAACTAGCTGGAATTACCGGCAGATTGGCAGTGGTGATTCATGGTTTTCTGAAGATGTCTTTTGAGTATTGAATGACTGTTGGAGGGTACAGAAAATGAGACTGAAACGTAGTTTCTTTGCAGGTGAAGGATCTGAAGCTGCTGTTGATTCTGTTTGAGAATCTAAATGGCTGGAATGTTTGGTGTGGAAGAAACAAGCTGCTCACCTGTGTCAGAGCCCTTCTCAACAGAACTGATGTCTGGCCATTTTTTTAGGACAGCGCGGCACACTGAGTCTTTGATTAATCTACCCAACAGAGGAGCTTGTGTGTTTTTGGACAAGTTTATGTTTACAAATGTTGTTATTAAATACTATTTTAATAAAGAACATTCTTTTGTATTAGAAATGTATATTTGGGAAAAAGTTAAATTTGACTATGATAAGGTATGAACTTCATTGAAGTTTGTGAACTTCTGGTCAGTCTTGTCATTTTAACTGTGGGCCTCAAAGTCAGAAACTCTGAGGCACTTAAAGCATTTATACTTGATTTCAGTGTCTGCTTCTATTATCCTTTGCATGTAAGTGAGGTGGCTCTGTGCAGTACTTGGCACCAGGTAAGGACTTGTTCAGCCTTCATCTTTTTTTTTTTTTCCCCTTTTTATCGGTACCGGGGATTAAACTCAACGACCACCTGCTTGCAAGGCAGGTGCTTATGCCGCAGAGCTAAATCCCCAGCCCCTTCAGCCTTCATCTTGTTGGCTTTTTTTTTTTTTTTTTTTTTTTTTGGCGTTTTTCGGGTTTTTATCGGTACCAGGGATCGAACTCACAACTGCCTGCTTGCAAGGCAGGTGCTTATGCTGCTGAGCTAAATCCCCAGCCCCGATCTTGTTGGCTTTCTTTTTCCTGGCGTTCAAATGCAGCTGGCCAAGTACTCTACCACTAAAGATGCATCCTTAGTACCCTTTGTTGCTATCCTAACGTGGAATATTGTGGCTAGAGGCCAGTTGATAGTATTACACTAGGGATTGTTGCTAAAAGGGCTTTAAAATCATTGATAGGTCTTTTTCACAACAGTATTGGGTTAAGCATCAGTGTAAGGATAAATAAAACCTTTATAATATTGGGTTCTAATGGCTTCCAGGTATGCTGCTAAGAGTGTCATTTTTTGTGTCCCGGGGTGATTTTTTTTTTTTTTTTTTTTTTTTTTAGGTACCTGCAGTTGAACTCGGGGCCTTGGATTTGCGAGGCAGGTGTTTGTGCCACTGAGCTATATTCCCAGAGCAGGGCTCTGGGCTTCAGAAGTGGATTCAAAGTACTGATTATTTCAGAGTCAATAGAATTTATAAAAACATCTGAAACCCAGCTAGTAGGGCAGTGCTGGCTGAGAAGAAGCAAGACTCATCACGGGGCTGTACAGTGAGGATGAGGCTGTGCCAAGCCCTGGGGTTGCCTACTACCTTTGTTGTGAGGGCTCCTGGCCACTGGCATGAGGTAGCCATGATGCTATGAGTAGAGGGCAGATAACTTGTCTTCATGGGAAGGAGGTTATGGCTCCACAAAAAGGTGTAGGCCTTCCGAGCAAGGCCTAGATGAAAGTTACAAGTGCGTTCAGTCAGGAAGACTTCAGTGGCAACACAGTTAATATCTGTAGTTTGCACTTGGGAGACAGGATGAGTATGTTAGAAATGATGCTGTGTGTGTGTGGAGAATCTGAAATGAGTTGGAGCCTGGCATAAAGCACGTAGACTTTACCTCAAAGGAAAGAGTCCCAATTGGGAGTATAGCTCAGCTGCACAGCACCTGCCCTGCAAGCACAAGGTCCTGGGTTCCATTCCTGGTACCACACACACAAAGCCCCTTGACCAGACCTCGGAAAATTCAGTCAGGGCTCAGGGAGACAAATTGCTTTTCTGGAAGCAGGTGACCAGGTTTCCTGTGACAGTATGACTTCCAGCCCTACAGCAGCCAAAACCTTGAGAAGGGAGGTGTCAACCACTGAAGGATGAGACCAGGGTGGGGATCTTTGGAAAACGGGATTCCCAGTGGGGAGATGGTGATTAGTATGAGTGCAGTTTAATTTAAAGAGTAATTTCTTATATTCTATAGCAGAGAGGGGTAACTGGTTGACTAATAGGATCAAGTTTCCAAAGAAAAGGTGAATGTCAGAGTTGATGGATATGCCATTTACACGGTCATGACAGTTGCAGTCATTTATTAGAATGTGACACTTTACCCCCATAAACTTGTAAAATTATGTCAATTTGAAAAAGAAGCCTGGGGGGCTGGGGGTTTAGCTCAGCGGCATAAGTGCCTGCCTTGAAAGCAGGCAGTCGTGAGTTTGATCCCTGGTACCGATAAAAAGGAAAAAGGAAAAAAAAAAAAAAAAAAAGCCTGGGCCAGGGATTTAGCTCAGTGGCATAAACGCTTCCCTGGCAAGCATGAGGTTGGGAGTTTGATCTCTGGTACCAAAAAAAAAGCCTTGTATAGAAGTGCATTCTTGTCATCCCAACCCTCAGGACGCTGAGGCCAGAGGATGCTGAGTTTGAGGCCAGTCTGGGCTAAAGGGAGTTCAAGGTCAGTATGACTTATAGAGCAAGACTTCTCAAAAGAAGGAAAAATAAAGAACAAAATCTGACACTAAGAAATATTTTTCTTTTAGTATTTTTATACAAGGTCTTGCTCTGTAGCCCACGTTGGCCTTGGCAATGATCCTCCTGCCTCGGCCTCCTGAGTGCAGTCATTACAGGTGTGCACCACCATGCCCAGCTCAGGAGAATTTGAAAGGGGCAGAACTGGATATTTGAAGATATTAGAGATGTAAGTGTAACATGAAGAGAGGGGAGACAAAGACAGCCAGGCTTGTGTAAGGGCAACATGCCTTGGAATTTATTCTGCCTGGGTTCAAGCAGACCAAGAGTGAAAACAGTTTCTGTAGGGAACACAGAAAAGCGAGCTGCTTTTATAGAAATGGAAAGGTGAGTGACATTAGGTGGGGAGATTTTAAATAAATATCAAACTTCTCTGGCTCTTGTCCCTCAGTGGGCGAAGCTCTTGTAGGTCTGGTGTAAAATTTTGGGTGTCTCCAGATGCCCCAGGACTGGCAAGATTCTTCGTCTTGTCTTCCTCACTCCCTCCTGTGCTGCCAGTGCCAGCTGAGGTGCTGAGCTGAGTTCCCTGCTGAGAGTGGTGCCTCTGCTGGCGAGCGGATCGGAGACTGGCGCAGTCTGGCCTATTCAGGCCTTACGGTAAGGACATGGGCATTTCCCATCCTCTCAGCCTTTAAAACTTCTGATATGGACTTCTTTATTTTAGGGCATGGTAGTGCACTGAGCTACATCTCTAGACTACTATTGCTACTATTTCTTTTTCCCTTTTCCCCTTCCTTCCTTCCTTTCTTTTCTTTCTTTTCTTTTCTTTTCTTTTCTTTTCTTTTCTTTTCTTTTCTATTTTTTTTTTTTTTTTGAGCCAGTTCTCACTAAGTTGCTAAGTTGTTTGGTTGGGCTGAAGTAGTGATCTACCTGCCTCAGCCTCCCAGAATGCTGGGCTTACACATCTGTACCTAAAGACATGTGACAAAGTATATATAAATGTGTGTTAACCAGGGATGTAGCTCAGGGGCACAGTGCCTGCTTGGTAAGTGCAAGGCCCTAAGTTCAATTCCCATTGCAAAGAAAAAATCTATGTCGTGCCTCTGGGTTCCCCAACACCATAAAATGCAGGAGGAGAGGTAGAGATCCAAACATTTTGCAGGGTGTGGTTGTACCCTGAACAGATAAATATAACTCCTTCTGTTCTGAAAAGGTGAGACCACACTGGTCTGCGTGGAGAGTGAGCTCCTTGTAAATACCTATTCTTCTACATCTTACCCTAGAATTGATAAAAAATAGAATTTGTCTTTCTTACCCTGTGCAGGTCTGACAGTGTACAGGTTCCCCAGACAAACATGCCTGGTCATGGAGTGAGGCAGACCTGTCAACAGACACTTCTGCACAGCGTGCTAAACAAGACGCCACATCAGGGCCACACAGGGTGCTGAATGGGTACAAGAGGTGACCTTTTCACCAACAAAGTGAGGCACAAGCTCTTGGGATGATGGGGGGATGTGCTGTTTTGCATAAGAAGATAACATGGAGGGGCTGAGGCTGGGCGTCACGGCCTGGAAGCAGACAGTGCCTGCCTCCCTGGATACAGTGGCTCAGATCTGGACACTGGGAGCCACAGAGTTCCCTGTTCCTGTTCTCGTCCTCATTGTGGTCCAGGAAGTTTGAATTTGTAATCTCATGAGAAGTTACTGGAATTCTAGTGAGTTAATTCCATCTATTACTGCTAGTGCAACCCAAGGGGAGAATAAACACACTAAGACACCTACACAGTCATGGGAACCAGGGGATCCCAAGGCCAATGGAAAAGGTGATTCACCTGAACAAAGGCCACAACCCAGGGCCCAACTGAATTCCATTAATTCTCTTTGAGGGGAGTGACTTGGGGAAGAGTAACAGAGTGGCAGGAAGAACGTGATCGCCGTGACTGCCGGAGAGTTTTGGGAAATACGTGACCGCCGTGAGCTGAGCTAGGCAGGAGCCCTGAGATCACCTCTGTGATAGTAGAACGGCTGCAGATGCAGAGAGAGCAATATGCATCACACAACTGAGGCAATATTTTGGGTTGGTGCTTCGGTTCTGATGTATAATCATTTTTGCCCTGGAAAGTCACAGCTGCTTTCCTGAGCAAGGTCCCAGATGACAGCGTGGAGCACAGCTCTCCATTCTGCCCAGCTCAGCCATGCTTTTCTGGGAGTCACTGGGCGGGGAAACACCAACTGTGGCCTTGCTTCCAGGACCACACATCAGGACCTCAGCCAGCCCAATTTACATTGTTCAAAGCCAACTGAAGGGACAAAGAAATGGTCTAGCCAGCTCTGTACTATCAATACATGGAGACTGGACCAAGTTTATCCAAAATGGAGATGCTCTGCTTTCAAGGAGAGTCGCCTCGGTGGTTCCCACAGGGAGTCGGGGGAAGGCTGCACAGACATCCCGTGTTTGTGACACGCTGAGATAACGGGGCGGGCACTGATTGACTTGCAGTAGATGCCTACTTGTCCCGCCTCCTGAAAACACCCCTGGCCAGGGAGAAACACTAAGGGATGAGGCCAGGTAGGTATGGTGGCCCACCCCTGCAGTCCAGCACTGAAAGCTGAGGTCAGAAGATTGCAAAATTGCAGCCGAGCCTGGGAAGTTTAATAACTTCATGAGATCCTGTATCAAAATATAAAAGTAGACAAGGGTTGAGGAGCTGAAGATGGGGCTGTATGCATGTAATCCCAGCACTCAGGAACCTGAGGCAGTGACTTTGAGGCAACCTTGGTGACACTGGGAGTTTGAGACCAGCCTGTGCTACACAGAC